CTCTGATCTGCCATAAAACTTACATGGACACAACAAAACCAAAAAATCAGACAATACCTTTCTCCCCATTGGGTCAGTGTAGGTCATAACAGAACAGAGAAATAAGCACTTTTATTAACCTTATTCCTAAAAAAACCAAGTTATATAATTTTTCCCTTCTGTATTTCTTCCACTTTGAGTTTACCAAAAGGGCTCTCTTTAGAGAGGGTCAGTAAAATGAGAATAAAAAATCAAGTTTAACTGATTTTAACCAAAGCATCAAATTTACCTATTAGCTAAAAAATACGTTTTGCTTGCACAGTGCAAAAGAGATCCCATGCTACCTTCCCAAGTCCTGAAGTAAGCCAGATAAGTATTACCTTATCCATTGTACAAGCTGAGGAGGTTGAAGAGTTCAAGGCTGCTGCTGAAGATTACAGAGCCATACCCCACCCTTCCTAGCCCCTCTAGAAGCTGCGTAGAACCTCAGTGACCGCTAGAGGTTCTGGTTCAACGTGTAGGTACAGCCCCTCGTACGTGAGTGCTAATTTATCTAGAAGTCATACTCAAGGTTTCTGCCCTACAGAATCCTGTGATACAGACATATTCAATGTTTCCAGAGAAACAATAATGAGTTATTGTAGATTTGAAGTGTTGTGATGTCTTGTCATTCATAGAGGAAGGAGTTGATCTAGAGACATGACTGTACACTCTTCTGACAGCATTTCAACTGTGTAGCCTGATGCTCAATTTTTCCAGGGTTTCTGTGTTCAGTTTTTATTTTGCTGGTTTAAGCACAGATACACAGAATGAGAGCACCATTCCTAGTCAGTTGTATAAAGTTGCTAAAATTTTTGCAACCTCATTAGGGAGATTTTTAAAATCCAGATAGTCAATGTACCTGAATAGAGCAACACCTCTAACAACTACATAAACTATATAGAAAGGACTGAGTTGATGCATATTTCATAAAATCATAGAATCATAGAATCTTAGGGGCTGGAAGGGACCTCGAGAGATCATCTAGTCCAACCCCCCTGCCAGAGCAGGGTCACCTAGAGTACATCACACAGGAACTCATACAGGTGTGTTTTGAATGTCTCCAGTGAGGGAGACTCCACAACCTCCCTGGGCAGTCTGTTCCAGTGCTCTGTCACTCTTACAGTAAAAAAAATTTTTCGGATATTCACCTTGAACCTCCTATGCTCCAATTTACACCCATTACCCCTTGTCCTATCACTGGTCATCACTGAGAAAAGCCTAACTCCGTCCCCCTGACACTCACCCCTTACATATTTGTAAACATTCATGAGGTCACCCCTCAGTCTCCTTTTCTCCAAGCTAAAGAGACCCAGCTCCCTCAGTCTTTCCTCATAAGGGAGATGTTCCACTCCCTTCATCATCGTAGCTCTGCGCTGGACTCTTTCGTGCGGTTCCCTGTCCTTTTTGAACTGAGGGACCCAGAACTGGACACAATACTCCAGATGTGGCCTCACCAATGCAGAATAGAGGGGGAGGAGAACCTCTCTTGACCTACTAACCACACCCTTTCTAATGCACCCCAGGATGCCATTGGCCTTCTTGGCCACAAGGGCACATTGCTGGCTCATGGTCATCCTCCTGTCTACCAGGACCCCCAGGTCTCTTTCACCTACACTACTCTCCAGCAGTTCAGCCCCCAACCTGTACTGGGACATGGTGTTGTTCTTCCCCAAATGTAAAACTCTGCACTTCCCCTTGTTGAATTTCATCATGTTTCTCCCCGCCCAACTCTCCAACCTATCTAAGTCTCTCTGAATGGCAGCACAGCCTTCTGGTGTGTCAGCCACTCCTCCCAGCTTAGTGTCATCAGCAAACTTGCTGAGGGTACATTCTATACCCTCATCCAGGTCGTTGATGAAGATGTTGAACAACACCGGTCCCAGTACCGACCCCTGTGGGACTCCACTAGTCACACACCTCCAACCAGATTCTGCCCCATTGACTACAACTCTCTGACTCCTTCCTTTCAACCAGTTCCTAATCCACCTCACTTCCTGATCACCAAACCCATACCTGATCAACTTTTCTACAAGGATGCTGTGGGAGACGGTGTCAAATGCTTTACTGAAATCAAGATAAACCACATCTACCGCTCTACCATCATCTATCCACCTAGTAATTTCCTCATAGAAGGCTATGAGGTTAGTCAAACATGATTTACCCTTGATAAAACCATGTTGACTGCTCTTGATGACCCCCATGTCCTTGATGTGCCTGGAGATAGTGCCAAGAACAAGTTGTTCCATCACCTTTCCAGGGATGGAGATGAGGCTGACCGGTCTATAGTTACCCGGGTCCTCCTTCTTGCCCTTCTTGTAGACTGGAGTGACATTTGCTATCCTCCAGTCCTCAGGCACCTCACCTGTTGCCCATGACTTACTGAAGATGATGGAGAGTGGCCTAGCAATGACCTCCGCCAGCTCCCTCAGCACCCTTGGGTGCATTCCATCTGGACCCATTGATTTATGGATGTCCAGATTACTCAACTGATCCCTAACCCAATCCTCATCTACCATGTCAAACTCTTCCTCTATCTTGACTTCTTCTGGGGCTATATGAATCTGGGGCTCATAGGGAGACCCTGCAGGAGTGAAGACAGAGGCAAAGAAGGCATTCAGCACCTCTGCCTTCTTTATATCCTCTGTCACCAGGGCTCCCACCTCATTCCTCAATGGGCCAATATTGCCTCTAGTGCTAGTTTTGCTAGCTATGTATTTGAAAAAGCCCTTTCTATTATCCTTAACCTGACTTGCAAGGTTAAGTTCCAAGGAGGCCTTAGCTTTCCTAATTGCCTCCCTACATCCTCTGACAACAGTCCTATATTCCTCCCACGTGACCAGCCCCTCCTTCCATGATCTGTAGATTTTCCTTTTCCACTTAAGTTTGCCCAGTAGTTCCTTCTTTAACCATGCAGGTCTCATATTTCCCGTAATTATGCTAGGGGAATGCAGTTCTTAAATGGATGGCTTTTACTTTAAGAAAAATAATTTAAAACAACAACAACCAAACAAAACATTAAAACCCCCATAAGAGTTTCACCATTCCTTGGGTCTCTGTGTCTCTCTTAGGAGGTTTACAGTGTTCTTCTGTTTTACAGGTGTTTTGCTATTAAGAAAATAGCTCCTAATTAACACATCATCTTAGCTAGTCAGAAAGTAGCTCCAGAGTTAAATTACATACAAGAAAGTAGAACACCCATCGCTCTGCTGTAATTATCTCCAATTTAGTTAAAGAGACAAAAATGATACCGTGTAACCAACATCTTCTCAATACAAGTACCACAGGTTTTAGGTTCCACTGACAGAACCAGCACACACAGACCTGAGCTTGAAGTAAGCATGTGCTATGATGTATGTCAAGGAAACAAGTTAATGCTTTGTGGCACTCCCATGTATATTTTTGTTAAAAGACAATTTTAGGATGTTCATTATAAAGTAAGTATTTCCAAGTGACCTGGGGAAGGAATACTCATTCATTCATTCATACAGATAAAACTGGAATATTCCACCCTGAACAGTATCACTTACCTTTTTCATTTATAGAGTAACAAACACTACAGAATCCAGGGCTGAAACTACATCTATGTGATCAGTTCTTCCAAGACTCACTGTGTTTATAATGAATGAAATTAATGATAGCATATACAGGTTAGAGAAAGCAGCTTTCAATCTTACTGAAATGTGCAACTTCAATTAATGTCCCTCTTCCCTTTCCATCACACTAAAATTGTTAATTTCCTTTAAAATATTTTTATTCCAGTCTGAAGGAACATTACCTGCAGATATCTTCAGCAGCACTGACTGCAAGACCAAGTCACTAGGCACCGCTACACATGAACATTCCATTACAAAATCAATATGAAAAATTTTCATCATTGCAAAGGTTGTTTTTTTTAGGAACTTATTTCCATTTAATGGAATAAAGAAAAATTTGCCTTGCATGGAAAAATGAGAAGAAACAAACCCAAACAGGTTTATAACTTTCTACGTTTTAGTGATAGTAAACTAGAAAGGCTTTGGTAAACTTCAGCTGAAATGAGCTTACAAAGATCTTGGCAATCCTTTCACTCTTGCTTGTTCAGAGATCTCAGAAGAACACTACATAACAATTAATATCTGTAGTGCTGAAAATAGGAAGACCCTGGCAGGCATTGTGGAATGAACCTGAAATACACAAATACTGTTGACTTTTTTCCTTTTCACTAAAGATTCAGAATTGACCACTAAATAAAGAAATAACAAGAATATCTGTTTGAAGAACAGAAAAAAATATGAAGACCAACAAATGCCCACTTCATATAACAACATACTTTTTGTTCAGGTTATTCTCCAATGGAAGTTATAAATAGGACAACTCACTACCATGCTTATACTATTGCAAATTTAGTTACCAAACATGCTTTTCACCTGCAGCAGTACTGGCCCACTCTAAGTGAGAGAACAAAGTCCATGTCCCACTTCTGGCCTTTTTCCCTTTGGCTGCTGGAGCAGTGGGTGACGAAGGTGATAGTAACATGCTCAGCACCTGGAGGGAAAAAGTGCCGCATATCCCACACCAATAATTATGAAGCCTTAAATCTACTGGAGTCATTATAGAAGGCATGGCACTTTAATCCCTCATTTAAATAAGCACAGCCACTTTGTAGATGTTTGGTTACTTTGGTCAGTTTCCACATCTAAAGACCAAAAAAAATTGTCGTTTATTTTGAAATACAGAATAAAATATCATCATTGCCTTCTCTGTTCTCGGTCTGTTGCAGCTCACAAGGCTTAACACAGCTCAGGGAGTGATGCCAACATGAAAACTCAGGTAGCTTTTTAAGTACACACTTATCATCACCTGACCCTTTCACAGCATAAGTTAAGAACATGGCATTCAAAAACACATCCAAACAAGAGATATGAAAGTGCTACTCTATCAATGCATTAGTGGGTAAAGACAGAGACAGACATACAGAACATGAATATTTTCTTCCTTACTTGACTTTACTTGTTCTTCCTGTGATACTCCAATATCATCAGAATCAGACAATTCCTTTATGAAGTTGGAAGGAAACATGCCAGTCTTTCCATTGAGTATACCTTCCCACCAGCCCTCTTCTACCTGCACCAAGACAAAAACAAGAACAAAAAGGGGTGGTTTAACCTAAGTAAAACTTTACAAACATCACTTTCAGTCATAATGACAGTAATGATTTTGAACAGTTTGTATTCATGTTAAGTATTTTTTTTTAAGTAAAACCAAGAAAGATGCATAAGATGCATGCAGCCATCTGTAAATGTCAGCAGTGTTGTCAGCAGTGTTGACAGCAGTCAGAAGCATGGATGAACATTAAATAGAAGGATAAAAGAACTAGAGAGCACACTGTGTCTCCACATTTCAATTTTTATGGTTGTCAGTTTCATCACTAAATTTTCAGCACACACCATAGTCCTATTCATGACCATCTTCTTAATATATGTGATTAACAGATTATAAGAGTTTAAATTATCTAAGTAGTCAAAGGTGAAAGAGAAATGCATGCAAAGGGCTATTCAAAGAATCCAAACCAGCTATCTTAATCTAAATCATGTGAATATTCCTGTCTTCCCCGTCAAATTCAGAAAGTCTCTATTTTAAAAATTAAGAATGCTGCCACATCATTAATGTGTTAAGAACTCTATGGAGAACAAAGAACAGTACTAATGCATATTTGACTCTAGATTTACAATTAGTGACTGAAATACATCATGATGATATGGTCAGGAGGAGAGACACTTCCTAGACCAATCCCAGGAGAACATATCACTTAGAATTACAGTATTCCCTCCTGAATAATCCATTTAGGATTGAATGGCAGTGTCAGGGAATGAAATGACAGTCCTTAGAAACCAGATGCCTTTAGGTTATAACGGGACAGCCAGAAATTACTTATTATATGCATCAGCTAAACATACCCTTGACAGAGAAATATTTTTAATGTGTCAGACACTGACCATTCACCAAAAAAATAACAGGGGAAGACAATTGTCAGTCTGTTACACATCAATCACCATAATGTTTGACCTATTTCTTTCCTGCCCCCAAAACCAAAACAATGAAAATAGAAAGGTATCTTTACAAGTTGAAGGTGTTCAGAACTCCACATCTTAAATGGTACTAATTAATTATTAGAGAAATAAAAAAGTCTGCTTCATATCACTTATCTGTGAAAACCTCAGGTTCTTAGAAACTAAACCTGTTCTTCAACATGTGTAATTATATAATACAAGTAAATATTTCCTCCAACTATAGAGGAATGGTTGAATTTCTTTCAACTTGGTTTCAAGTACAATGAAACAGTCCAGACCAGCACAGCCACTTTCATTTAATCTCAGTACCTGTCCATGACTATTTTTATTTTTATTTTTTTAAATGCATCAATAGTATCAGTGAGGTCAAGCACAACTTTGGGAATACAGCTGTTATCTCACTGCTGCTTCAGAGGGTAGAATTCATACAAATCATGTGACAACTTCAGTGGAGTGCAGGCTTTTTGCATGACAGTTTTAAAGTCTCTAAAAGGTAATATATTCACCTTTTTTTCTCCAGACAAATTAAAAAACTATATAGAAATTGAAACTGCAGGGTCCACAACACTTAGTACAACCCTACAGATTGTATCCCAAATATCTGTATGTTATGTCCCATTATACAGAAAATACACAACATGGCCAACCAAGACACTTTGAGCTATGAAATATTTCAATTTTTCTAATGCACTATTTCCAGATGGTTCTACTGATTAAAGCTAAACATTATACCATAGCTGCATTAGCTGATTGACCAGAAGAGTAATTGCAGGGGTATTTAACAGTTCTTAAGATCCCTGCTTTACAAGATGCTGAGAATTACTTGACAGAAAAAAAGTGTCCAATATCACTCAATTCCATCTTTACCTTAAATAATTTTCTCCTGCTTAATTCTTCCAGGGTAAAACTTCACAGTTTTCTTACAAGTTAATATTAGCACTCTTTATGTGACATGTTTATGTTTATGGATTGCTATGTACTTGTACAGAAAAAGCATAGAAAGATCTTTAGACAGATAAATCTAAATTGGACATTAATATGCTCACAGCATTCATTAACTTATTACAAGCTTTCCAGTTAATATAAGAATGAATAATCTGAAAATGCCATGTCATATTCAACAATTTTACAACTTCAGAAAAATCTAAAAAAAACCCAGATTTTTTTCTACAGTAAAATACAAAATGGTGATAGTAAGACATCAGACATTCAGGTCAAACTGGTCCTTCCCAAAGATTTATAGGAAATTTTCATCAAAAACATCACAAGTTTTAAGTATTTTCAAACACTAGAGCTACGTTTAAACCTCAAAACATACCAGCTAGAGATTAATCCATATAAAAACAAAGACACTAAAGTAACCCCCAAGGATTTAGTTATCCTAAATTAGGACAATCCATTGCCATATGGTTTGAAATGTTCCAATAATTCCTAGCCAATAAAACCTTACAAATGAAAATCCATTATTCATGGGGGTAATCCCTCTGGAGATGGCATTTAATAAAATTTGTTACTATACTAATATAACAAAGTGCTTTCAGGATTTATATATACATCTAGGTCCTAATTTATGCCCAGCATTCAGATGCTGAACCAAAGGAAATAAAAAGAGAAAGATTTCATTCAGTAAACCATGTCCCTACACAAGAAAAGAAATTTGACTTTTTATAATAACTTACACACCAATTGTAAGTTCAGCCTGAAAATGAAGTTTTTAGGTTTAGGTTGGAAGGAGAATCTATCCAATACGCCAAATGTAAGCGGCTACAGCTAGAGATATTTTCAAGATGTGTTTTCAATGTGTTATATCTGTTCAGTGCCTTTCAAAGGGGCATAGCACGTCCTCATCTTGCCCAGCCTCTAGGCTGCCAGGACTGCTGTCACACCACATTTGAAGCAACAACATACAGCAAAGTGACTGAGGATACTTCATTACTCCATTTAGTATATTTAAGGAGGTAACAACACATGGACAAAACTGCAACTTGGTCAGTGTTAGGGGTGCAGCAGGGACAGATGCTATAGCTGACACCTATCAGCAGTCCAGGGCCTGAATGTGACTGAATGAGATATGCACCACAGTATCAGCAGAGAATAGTGCATCACCTCTAGAGAAATGCATCTCATTGAGAAGTCTTACCTTTGGGATATAAAAGGAAATCTAACCTAGCTAATTATGCAATATTCAAATGTTCTTCCAAGATCACTGGGCTTTGGAGTTGTTGTTTGGTTGGTTTGTTTTACATTTTAAATGAAGAAATAATACTTTTGTTTGTTTTTTTAATTGAATTACTCAATAAGACTTTTTTGATGTAAATTAGGTTTATAGTTTTTGGAAACTATAAATCACATACAGATTAAAATAATTCAAAATACACTAGCTTACTTTGTCGGAAAGTGAGTTTTTAGTCAAATTGTGAGATGATAGCACACAGTAACAACCCACACTAGAACGACAGTAAGAGGTTGTAGTAGTTTAATTACAAATAATAATATAAATAAGAAATAATAATTAATTGCTGAAAATAGATGCCATGGAAGTAGACAGACAGGAGAATAACAGAGTTATATGGGTCAGGCATTCATAGACACAAACAGTTCTCTAAAGGGTGTACAGGTGCTAGAACATTAAGCTGCATAGAAATCAACAACAATTTATTTATATCAGCCTATTTCCATGTTTAAAGTGAAAATATATAAATAAATTAAATTACAGTAGTTCAAGCCTTTAGGCAAACTCAACAGTTCTATGACATGCTGAGAATGCAGTTTCATTCTGTAAAGCAGCCAAAGAAACAAAACTACCTCAGTAGGTAATCAGGACTACAAAATTAATATATTCCAAAAATGAGGAAATGTTACTTTTAAATTTTCTTTAGGTTTTCTCTTCATGCCATCACAATGTGGAGCATCCCCCTTAACAGAGAGACATATCAGAGGGATTATCAGCCTGATCCACAAGCCTAGAAGCAGCTTCCCTTGAGGGAACAGGGCAGCCATCCCTCTAACTCCTCAAAAGAGCAGGTAATGCTGAGGCAAAATAACAGCTGTTCCTTGCCAGAACACCTGGACTGCCACAACTGCTTGTTTACACCTTGTCAGATAATTAACAGGATAAAGTGTGTTTCCAATAAACTCCTGTATCTGCCTGTTCCACAAACTTTTCTAAAACCTGTAGCTTTGCCCGTTTGGCTGACAAACTACTCCAGCTCCACTGGCACAAATGAGGGAGGCTTTGAGTCAGGAAAGGTTTCAGGTGGAAGAAAGTCTCCATGGATCACAACAGTCTTTCTGGGCTGATAAAACTAAAACAGTCCTAGGGAGAAAAGCAATGCCAGAGGCAGGCAACAGGAAGGAGAGAAGCCCAAGGTCAACAAATTTTATTTTGCTTATAGAGAACTAGAGCACAAAAAGCAACAGAAAAACCTCATTTTTAAAATAAATTCTAATGGAAGATCTTAAGCTTGACGAACAGAAGCAATTGTATGTTGAAAGTAAATGAAAACCACAGATTCCCAAGTGGCAAAATAAACAAATTATATTCAATGCCAATGGGAAAAGAAATTTTGGAAACAAGACCTCAACAGAAGACGGTGCCTACAGTGCCACTTGATGGCTTATTCTGGGAGTGCACTCAGAGTCATACCCATGAGTCACCAACCAGCCCTTGGGCTTCTGCTGCTCCACATCTGGACTCTGATGCAGAAGGGAAGAATTGAAAACTGCACAAGTACTTTGTATTAGCAAATCTTCTCAGTTTCAGAGTTTTTTATTTTACGATATCAAAATGTGCTCAGGAAATTTATTTATTTTTTGTGGTTTGGGTTTTTGTTATTTTTTTTTAAACATGATCTTTCAAGAAGCTGAGGGGCAGAGAAAGCAATCACATAGAATTGGGATGACCCTATTAGAGTCAGAGGTATTTGCACCCTTTTAGTTAACAGAAAAAAGCCTCCTACCACACAAACTAACCAAAAAAGGACCAGGCCAAACAAGTCCTCATGAACCACCTGTTGGAAGAGGACCAGGAAAGACATATTACCACCAGATTTCACAGAAAAGTAACCTAGGGACATGGAAGCCCAGCATTAATTCCCAACTGTTTTCTTGCAGCATTGCACAGTTCTGTACTTGTGGCACAGACTATCCCCTTGCCATTACTAAATATTCCCCTTTTTCCACTCTACAGCTGTCAAAATAAGTTACTGTAAGGGAAGTTCAGCTCAATCCCCAGTGTTTATCCTGTTCTTGGAAATGAGGTGAACCACTTTATCTGGTAACAGCAACAACAAAAAACCCTGCCAACCTTGCTCTAAAGGAGCACCATATTTTTAAAAATTCAGCCTGCATGTTTATATTTTCAAAAGAGTTACTTGTAGGATTTGATCCTGACATATGGCAATGTCACCTAAAAGTTAAAGAATAAGCTCAGTGGTATTACAGCCTGTTGTAGTCAAAGACTTAGTTGTGAGCTTAACTCCATGTGCTGCGCATTGCCTAAAAGCGGACTTCTCAGCAGGATGAGGCCAGAAGGTACATAGCAGCACAACGACAGAATAATCCCAAATGAAAGCAGGATCAGAACCACTGAATGACATGTAAAATGTCCTTACTCTGATGCTACAAGTTAATTATCTGGCATCCCATGGAAGTCTAAGGGTAAAAAGTAATTAGGAATTCAGATATCTGCATTTAATCTGGCAATTACTTACAGTTATATTTTGGGACAAGTGTAATTAGAGTTACAGCTAATGAGCTAGGAAAATGACAAACAAAAAGCTATCAATCACATTAAACGTGAACATAAACAATGATGAAAATGCTTCTTTTGTTAGTTTCAAATGTACTTTTCATTTAAGTCTGTTAATTAATGTCTCATGGGTATTAGTGTCTGTGTAGTTATGGAAACCTCTAGTTTAAGAACAAGTCTTTTAATCTGTTGTGATGAATGTCTGACCTTATTATAATTGATTTCTAACTATCTGGAACAAATAGGAAGGAACTGTGATTTCTGAACATACACAGCCTCCAAAGATATCCGTCTGATGACAAGCCGAGCATCTCAGAACTCACACTTGCTGTTATCATGTTAACCATAAGTGACATCTTAAACACATTTACTCCTAAATACCCACTTAAAGATCATAGACAATTTTTTGATCTAAACAATATCCATTTTAGTTTGCTGTAAGTCAATTAGGAATCAATTTATTTTCAACTAAAGAGAAGAACACAAAAATCAGAAAATATTAATCTACGTCATTTCAAAAATTATTTAATTCAATTGATGCAACTTTCTTAGGTGGATACAATAAAATCCTACCTGTGGGAATCTGAGACCTACTCATGAATAAAAAGATGGAGTAAGAGAAAGAAGCAACTGGAACTGGAAAGTGAATGACCGATAATATTCCAATTATCCACTGAACCACTGCAAATAATGATTAGATGCTATAATACAGTTTTCCACCTTTAGTAAGGATAAACAAAATTGATATTTTGCAAGAATTTCCTCAACAGTTGTTGCCTATGTGGGAGGAGTTTTTTGCTGTTGTTTTGGGGTGTTTTTTTTACAATAACACAGCATGAATTTGGCCCTTGCAAAAATACCTCAATTTTCACAACTGAGGAAGACATATTTCTTAAATAATTAGTCCTTCACGTCAAACATTTCTACTTTGAAATAAGGAGCATCATATAATGACAAACACTGTGAATCCTATTTCAATGTAATTACTTTTTATACAGCATCACCTACAAGCAGAAATGTAAACAAAGATAGCTGTACATTGGTTGGTGAAGCTTTCTGCATTAAATAAAGTTCTTTTTTCAAAAGAAAAATTCTAGTATCTCATCTAAATTACTTAATCATACAATTAATTCGGTAGAGTTAATGTGTTGGCTGAATTCTAGGAAGGGGTTTTATTCCATCACTTTACTCTTGGAAGACACAGACTTAAAAGTTTTAAGTAAGGCAACTGATGGAAGATACTTGTGTGACCATGTGAGGTCAAATATACTTCAAATTGCACAATGAAAACAGTTCATGTGAAAGTCATTATAATATTGAGTTTACACTGTTTTCAAAATATGCTCTTAAATATCTTACAACCTCGACATCCCCCATTACAATTCTGCACGTAGAATAAAGTTAGTTAAGTGACATCATATCTGATTGAACTAAGCTTCTTATATGTGAGAATTTAATCTCTTCTAAGACAACACTGGATGTCATGTAGATTGCAGCAGAATTTTTATTCTTTTAGAACTGACTTCTTCGATGCAGGAAAAAGAAAAATAATCATATATCCTTGACAAGAAAATAAATGTTGACTTATTAGCTGAGTCACAAGGAAAAAACTTCTACAAATAAATTATACAAGCTGAAATATACCTTTTATTGGCTTCTTGAGGCCTTAGATCTTTTTAAAGCTAAGTAAATAAAGATTAAATTTGTTTGAATGCATTCTACTTAAAAGGATTTGTGTTAACATTTTTACTTCTGGACCTCATGCTATTAAACTCAAGAAGATACATCTAAAATCTTGAATGGAACAAAACTGAGAGTATTGGGAGCAAACAGCATTCCTTGATCCTTCAATAAGATTCACCGAAGCAAAAAAGTTCTTGTATCTCCAGAATTTGCTTGCAATCTTTTAAAAAGATACGCATTCACGTTCCCCATCCATTTCCACCCAAAGTAAGTGCATATTGAGTCTCTAAAAAATTTGTTGGTGTGTCTTTATTTGTTGTTTTGGTTTTGGTTTTTTAAGCTGTTAGACTAAAATTGTTAAAATTTGCAGGCAAAGATGACAAAAGGTGGATGTAATGGCTGAACTCCAGAGAGCTTCAAGTAAATTTCTTAAATGTGTTCAACTTCATAAAGATAATTCTTCCCTGTGGCTGGCTTATTGTAATTGGGAAAAGCTTTTTCTGCCATAATCTTGGTTTTTCAGAGATATAAAATCAAAAGCCCCGTAGCACAAACTTTGAGCTTTTTCCCTGAACATAACTCAGAAGCATCAAGTGATTGAGTAAAACCAGCAGAAGTGCCACAAGAAAAAAAAACCACCCTCAGGAAATCCATATGCAAACCATATCCCCTGCTTGCCAACAGTAACCCAAACCAGCCACACCAGTATGCCAGAGAAGAACAATGTCTGGTTTAAATTATTTCTTAAAATACTCTGTATCTAAGAGTTTAACATGCACAAGATATGTTAGAACTGCATGTGTGTACATTCCATTAAAGATCTGCTTACCTCTCCCACAACTTCAATGATGTCACCAACTTTTAATTCCAGTTCATCTTCGTTTTGAGGCATATAACTGAAAGCCACCTGACATCTTCTTCTTCTGTTTCTCTCTCCTGGTGGAAATGAAGGAAACAGGGAAATTGTACAATTAAAAGAAAATTTCATGCCAAATATAAACCAGGAGAAATTACTAAATATGAAATTTAATTCCTTGACACTATTAAAAGAATCTGAATGTTTGTAATACTTACTGTATTCTGTCTAGAATTTACAAAAAGAAGGCAGATAAAAGATTTCTGCTACATATTTTTTCTTCTAACTATTTTCATAATGTCATGCAATTAATAAATTAAAATAAATTGTGGGGACTTTTTCCTTTCTGTAATGTTATTTAAAAAAATTAACTAAGAGCTTGTGCTTCTTAGTGATAGGATGGACCAACTTTACCCAGGGGATCTTGCCAGATGTATTTGCTACAATTTCTTTTCTAGGCTAATGCTCTATGAGTATGGTGTAGGCAAATCCAGAAACTGGAGAGATGGGTAGGAGATAGAAAACCTTGTGGCTTTTGTTGATTTGGAAATAAGCTCTCAACTGATTATTTTGTCTTGTATAATTTTCTCCATAATTCTTTAACAGGTGTACAAATATCTCAATAACATTTTAAATATATATATTCTTTTACATAGATATATACACATACAGATATAAATTTATATATGTATGTATATGTGTATATACACACATATTTGTAAGTTGTGTATTTATCCACTAATATAAGATTATAGTAAACAGAAGGAAAACCCTTCACGGAGGATTCCAAAAGTTAGGTATATCATTGGGTTAGTGTGGCTACTGGAAATCATGCTACCAGCCACATTACTCTTCAGCTTGGATGTTCAGGCTCCCTTAAAAAGCTGGTGCATCTTTGGATGCATGACAGGAGAGAGGCTTGAATTTATAGTTTTGAATAAGACACTTCACCTGATCCTTCTGCGATCACAGTTTTAAGACAGGTAAATAAATGAAAATATTCAGGTCCAGAGTTTTGTTTGCCAGATCAACTCAATTATATATAATTATAGTCACATGATTTGTAGCAGAGTAGGTGAGAGAAGCTCGCTAAATTAAGTTGCCAAAGCTTGCTGCTCAGGTTCTGTTAGCTGAGAGACAACTTACTGACATGAATAACAATCATGTTGGAATGTCATGGAGGAGGAGAAGGTAGGAAGATAGAAATAATTCAAAATACAGGATTCACTAATTACTCCTTCTTCTCTAGATGATGTGCAATGTATAAACCATACTATTTCATTTTATTTATAGACATTAATCCATACAAACATATATAAACACAAGTAAATGTACTTTCTCTTATACTGTTTCTCTTAACTGTTAAACATGCTCAATACACAACAAAATCAGTTGTGTAAACACTGTCCAAGAACAGCCTTAATGTGACATTAATTACAGAAATTACAGAATTGTATCTTATGGTCAGTCTATTATCTCCCCTGCAACATGTATCGATAATCCTGCTCTAACGTGAACAGTAATAAAAAAGTTACAGAAGTTGTTGGTTTTTTTCTAATCTATTAATTGAAACCACAGAAAGAAGGGAAAAGGCAAGCCATTAAATTTGGCTTTCTGACAATATTTTTCACAGCCACTGCAATCCTGCATGAGTGGCAGCTTTCTGAATGTTAACATTAACATCTTAATGGAATGTGACCAAACTCGCTCAAATTGACTCTTTTTGCCACCTACAGGTGACATTCTTCACCATCTAAACAAAAATGGTTTTAAACCAACAACTTTATGCAGCTGCATACAGAACTTAAATAAAATAAATATCTTCCATATTGAGTGTTTCTTTTATTGTGCAAAAGAGGTTGGCTATTTTTCCTGAAGACAACATTACCACTACGATTTCTAACATCGAGTAGCAACTGATGTGCTGACATTGCCTGATGAATAATCAATACTGTGTGACCCTTAGAGAACATTTTAAAGATTGCTTAGAGAGTAAGAAATAAACACAATTCTGGATGTTAATAATAGAACTGTATGAATACTTCCCCATCCCACACCATCCAGTTTTTTTATTACTGTATAGAAAACATAGCAATAGTCTGCATTTATTCACATTAGTCTCATGGTTATCTCACTGCTCTCCCTCTCCTTCCAAAACTTTCCCTAAAGAAATACCTAAGTGGAGAGTACCAAGCCTACAAGAGGCATGGACTCTACGTACCAACTAATTCCTCACTCTGATCTAATGCAGGACAACAGCTCCAGCAGTGAAAACCTTTGGTCTGCAGGAGAAGGTGCTTCTGGACCCCACATGCAAGCTAATGTTTAGAGCATTTGAGCAGAGTTGTGTGAAGAGCTCTACAGCCAAGGAATATCTCTTTTTCTTACACTACAGCAACCTGGGTAATACAGCAGTATTAATTTTCTTAAGGTAACAGAGCTTATAGGAAAAGTAGTCAGAGTAACCAAGTTGTGCATACAAAAAGTGTTAGTAAAGAAAAACTGACCAACTGGGACAACTAACCCGCAGTTTAGACAGAAACACTGCAGTCTTGGTCTTCTCTCGCCATATCCCCTTTTGCTAATATTGCCACTTATTGCAGAGTATTATTACAGTCTGTGTTTTCACTGGTAGTCACCTATGATCTAAATAGTACACTGCGACTTTAAAAGGTAACTTGACAGGTTGATGTAAAGTTTAAACCATATAGGGCAGCAATTCTGCAGTGAGGACAGCAGATACTTTCTAATCTAGTAAGTTTTTTTCTTGCTTGTAAATTTATGAAGAAAACTCCTAGTTTGTGCAGTCAGTTCTTAAACGAACCAGGCAGCTAGAGAACTTGCCACATGTGTACACAGGAGCTAACCAAAGGAGCTAAACCAGTGACTGCAAAGCATACTGCACCTGAAGCGATGGCACCAAGACCTCAACAACTGTGCAGCAGAGCATGCCTGACTCTTCTCTGCTCCTCTAAGGGCTGTGTAGAATCACAGAATCACAGAACCATGAGACAGATATAGGAGGGACCTATGGAGATCATCTGGTCCAACCCCTCTGCTAAAGCAGTATTGCCTAGAGCACATTAGGCAGGACTGCATCCAAGTGGATTTTGAATATCTCCAGAGAAGACTCCACAGGCTTTCTGGGTAGCCTGCTCCGGTGCTTTGTCACCCCCACAGTAAAGAAGTTTTTCCTCATGTTCAGGTGGAACTTCCTGTGTTCCAGCTTGTGCCCTTTGTCCTGTCACCAGGCACTAGTGAAAATAGTCTGGCTCCATCCTCCTTACACCCACCCTTTAGACACTGACAGACATCAATAAGGTCTTCTCCTCTCCAGGATAAACAGCCCCAGCTCTCTCAACCTTGAAGGCACTGAACAAAGTGTCTGCAGATCTGGCAAGGGAGGAAAGAAAACGGGCCTTGCATGCACTGTGAAAGGTGTCAAGTCATGACAGACCATAAGAGAGATGTTGGCTGCCTCCTTAATTGCAGCTGTTGATTGCTCCTGTTCACCCCAACTGGGGATACCATTCCTTTGCCCTGAGAGGTGAACCAATTCTCTGATCATACCCTAAAACTTTAGCTCAGAGCAAAACTTGTTAGTTTAGCAATGTCAACAACAGGGTTTGCTAAACCAGCTCTGTTGGGACTTCATCCTAAGATTCACCTACCTCTCATTGTAGGTGAGTTGTACATCTAATTCTAAGCCTGTTACTCATGAGTGGAGAGAATATAATACCTTCACAGAGTATGTAGTGTCACTGTAAAATAGACAACTAAAATACATCAGATGAATGACCCTACAGAGGTGTCTTCTTCTACTGCTGTAGCTAGATAAGACTTCAATGTCCAACTTGAAAATCTCTAAAGTTAGGTGAAATGGAAGAAGAAATTAACATATATATACTAACCTTTTGTTTTCCCCACCACAAGAGAACAAATACAGCAATCCAATTCATAACGCAGTATAACTATTCTATAGAGTAAAAAACTATATTCAATATAAACCTTCAGAGAAGTCCCTCTCCCTTAAGTATACTTAAAATGGTTGACAATCTCTTCAAAATTAGCACAAACACACCCCCTCAGAGCACCACCCCAATTTTGTAATTGGATGTGTTTTAAAAAGAGTTGTATTGATATCCTTGCAGCTCCAACAATGCAACCCAATTGTTCCAGGATTTCTGTTATTACTGTTTTCTAATGAAAGTGTTGCTATGGAAATTGCATGGGTTAGGTGGGGGACTGAGTCAAGGTTTGCAGCGTGAGAAGCCTAATGACATTTCTCCCACACCAAAATGATTTCAAACACACTGAAATACATAGCAGTTCCTGCAGAACCATGGACTTCCCTCTACCATTGGCTTGTGGCAGGCTCAGGTGAACCATAAAAGGAAACTGAGATCCACTGGGCCACCCTTCAAGTAGATACAAAGTGACTGAACTTGGTAAAACCACTTAGCAAAGAAGTCACTATCAGGGAGGTCTGTTAAAGGAAAAAGATCAGTTGGAGGAAAAAAAATTCCTGTCTCCATTTCAGATTTCTCTGCACGTGGCATCATCTGCCCATCAGTCTCAGTTGCGCTTCCCCATCCTTCAAGCTTTCAAAGCTATATTGGTCACTGGGGGGAACCGGCTCAGGGCACAGCGTCTCCTGGTGAGACAAGCTGGGCTGTGATGTGACTCAGCTAGAAACTAGTTTTAAAGTTAATCGGTAAAAAGACAAAAGGCAACTGTTGTACAACTAAGAGATAACATTCATGCTTTGAGCTTGCATGTTACTGATTTTAATGGTACTGATGCAGTGCAGGTACAGTTGTTTCAGACTGCCAGGCTAGATAGTTCACACATTTTTTTGTTATAAATAATTGAATTTCATATATTAAAATGCAAATATTAAGAAAAAGGTTGAGCTACAAGCTTACTTCAGGGAAGTATTATTCTTAAAACCGCTACCTTCAGTAGATGCTTTTAAGAAACAGATGTTATCTAATTAAAAGCAAACAGACAGTATTAAAAATGTTAACTTTTTCAGTTGCTTTTTTTTATAACACATTGAAGATAGTGTTAAGAAACTTCA